CCAGTATGGGCATGCTGGATAATCATTTCCCTCAGGACAGATGACTTTCTGCACTCCCCCTTTTAAAATTAAAGATAAAAAGTTATGACACACCATCAAAAAATGCCATCCCCCAGGCCGCTATAACCTTTACAGACAATTCCAGTAAAACTAATTTTGGGTTAATAATAATGGTAGTTAATCATAAGGAAAAGGCCTATAGCCAACCAATTCATAGATCAAAACAACTAGGGGAGTTATTGGCAGTCCTTAAGGTATTGGAAATGACCCCATCAGAACCCATAAATAAGCTGGGCGGTGGTGGCGCACGCCTTTAATCCTAGCACTTGGGAGGCAGAGGCAGGCGGATATCTGTGAGTTCGAGACCAGCCTGGTCTACAAGAACTAGTTCCAGGACAGGCTCCAAAACCACAAAAAACCCCTGTCTCAAAAAACAAAAAAAAAAAAAAAAAAAAAAAAAAAAACAGAACCCATAAATATTATTTCAGATATCTGCTATGCCACACAAGCATGTAAAATACTATATTTTGCAAATTAAAGTCCCAAAAGGATTCCATCTCCAAAACCATGCAAACTATTCAAGACTTACTACAGTCCAGAAGACACTCCTGGCACATATACCATATGAGATCACATACAGGACTGGCAGGAATGCTATCCATAGGTAACTGTAGAATAAGCTGCCTAATTATGACTATAACCTATGACATAGCCCTTGCCTTTGCTGGAACAAGCTAGACTCTTCCATCAGCAATTTCATTTGTCCCCTCTAAATTTTCACAAGCTTTTACTTGGTTTTCCCTTGTTCAGCTATAAACATTTAATCGGAACCTATGGAACTTAACACAGGTCCATCCATTGGACCTATCTACTACATTCTTTGGCTTAGTATGGGATCACATAAAATCCCTTCTAGACCCCTCTTAAACATATTGCATGGTGCCTTATGGGAGGGATGGTGATGGCTCTAATATTTCTGCTTAAGTGTCTCCTAAAGCTAAGATCCTGACAATGGCAAGTGAACAAGGCAACAATCCAGGTGTTGACAGCCATGGAACACACTGTATCAAAACCTCTGAGGGAGGTGGTCCATGCTTGGCTAACACAAATAGAGGAGGCCATTTAAATCCCTAGTTCTCCTAAAATACTCCACTTCTAACTTCTTGGAAACTTCTAGAGACCGAACCCTTCAAGTACTAGTAGTTAAATATGGGTAGGAGCCTGTCCAGCAGGCCAGCCTAAGACAGGTACAGCCCCAAATACCAGGGTCTCCAAGGTGGGGTTATAAACATTCATAACTCCCACTAGGTCGTCCAATAAGAATAAAATTAAAATGGTGAGATGAGACAAAGCAATAGTGCAAGCACAAACACATGCAAACTCACAATGAATAAGCAAAATTGGCCAAAATAACCTGTGAGCAAACCTAAAGTACAGTAACTAAATGCATGGATTCCTAGCCAATCACAACACACCAGCAATGACCACCAGCCTTAAAAGGACCAACCAAAAATGTTCTTGCAGCAGCTTAATTTCCCTAATCCCATAAAAAACCCTGATCTTTTTGCAATAACGAGCTTCCGTATTGGAATCTCTCAGAGTCTGTGTTGCTGCTTTTGTGTCTTTTCACCCCTGCCTCCAGGAAACGGGAATTGCACAAAAAGCAGCAGAAATTAGCCTGCAATGAAGAGTTACAGCTGTTTAATCAATTTGAGTCTAAATTGAAAAATGCAAAGAAATCATTAGTAAATGAAAATAGAATGTTACTATTTCTATTCAGATTACACAGAATTTGTTATTTTAAGATTTTGTGTTTNGTATGTGTACATGAGTGTGGGTACTTTCAGAGATCAATAGGAGGTGTCAGATATCCTGGATTTGAAATTATAGGTGGTTGTCATTCACCTGTTATGAGTGCTGGAAATGAGACCCAGATCCTCTGCTAGAGCAGTATGTAATAACTGAACAATCTCTCTAGTCCCTTGTCCAGAAGTTTAAAACATGCAAATCAATATAGAAAATTGGAATACATAGATTTTTTTGTATATAGGAGTGTATGTATATGTACAAAAATGTGAGAAATTAAAAACTTTGGGAAACATTGAAAGTAAAAGAAAGAGACAATGTATCTGCAGTATTTTATTTGATTTTAAAATTATCTGAACATAACATTGAGATTGAATAAATCCTAGTGGTAAGTACACAGATGTTTATAACCTATTCTCATATAGCTCAGAATTTGTAAGAAGAAGGAAAACTGTAGCTGACAGAAATCACATACAGGTCAAAATAAAATGCCTAGCATATAGCCACTCTTAACATATTGAACGAATGAATAAATAGATAATTTAACTTTGAAACTCAGCCCATATAAACTGAACTTTCTCTTAACTTTCTCATTCAAAGACTTACCCTTCTGCTCCCCAATGGCCAACAGACACAAGCAATGTCATTAGGAGATACTCTAATTGACAGTAGATGAAAACAAAAATGAATCCTTGGCTTTTTTACCTTAAGTAACAAGCATTTCAACCACAGCATCCCTTTACTTCTGGATAAAATAATTCTTTGTTTGAAAATATGCTATTTTTGTCAAATCCCAGGGCTTTATTTGTTTGCTGTGACCACTCTACCACAGAGCTGCACACATCTCCAGTCAGTTTTTCTGAAACTGACTCTCTAAATGTAAGGATTAATGACGCAAATATATCTTAAACTTCTCTCTTGAAATATAGTCATGCAATTGCATAGTATTTACTGAAGGGCATTCATGTATCACAGGATAAAACGATGAACTCATTCAGTGTACTTCACTTTTGTCAATAAATTTTGTCAGCTTATTTATTGAAGCACTGCTAAAAAGCTGCAGGTTACAGGAAGATATAGATATTATTGTACTTCAATGAGGAATTATTTCTCAAAATGGCATAAAAAATTATCCAGGGACTTTAAATGGCTGTTAAAATTCTGTAATAGAAAATATTTTCCCAACAAGACTGAAAAATGGTGCCTCATAATAAATGTTATTATCTGACAAGGTAACATTAAAGCCACAGTTTACAGATACTTCTGGATAAAAGGGCAGATAAACATTCTGCATTGCTGTTTTCTGAAAAGAATATGAAGCCCAAGGACAAGAAGAGACTCACCTTCAATCATCTATCTAGTTAGTGACAAAGCCAAGATCATAGAATTTGTTTCTTGATCCCCGATTTTTTAATCAAATTTATTTATTTATTTATTAAAGATTTCTGCCTCCTTCCCGCCACTGCCTCCCATTTCCCTCCCCCTCCCACCGACCAAGTCCCCCTCCCCCGATCAAGTCCCACCTCCTCATCCACCCAAACTCAGTAGTAAAAAACAAGGACTTCTTGAAGTTTGCATACAAATGGATGGAAATAGAAAACACTATCCTGAGTGAGGTAAGCCAGACCCAAAAAGAGGAACATGGGATGTACTCACTCATATTTGGTTTTTAGCCATAAATAAAGGACATTGAGCCTATAATTCATGATCCTAGAGAAGCTAAATAAGAAGGTGAACCCAAAGAAAAACATATAGGCATCCTCCTGAATATTAACCTTCATCATGCGATGATCCCTGGTTTGTTACACTTGTCCACAGACATTCCATTCATCATGACAGCAATTCATAATGATTCTGAAAATTCAGTGAATAAAGAAAGAAGCCAACAAATATCCACTAATGGAAATATAAAACTGTATTTCCTCCATTTGCCTTTAACATGATCCAAGACCCAGTTCAATCTTAACAGCATTGGACTGTCAATTTGAAATAATAAATTCACTTAGCTCATATGATAGTTGTAACAAATTTAGGTAGTTTTACAGGCATTTTGTGGAAGAGAGTACATTGAGAATATAGTGCAGAGTAGAAATTTTGACTTATTTCATAACTTTACAAATATAATCAATCAATCCATGGTCATTTTGCTACCTACTTGTTGTGCACACATCTAGGGCTTCCACATCAGCTTCCTGACTTTGTATTAATAATGATTAATAAGACAGGTAGTCGTACTACTAAGAAGTTGTTTTATATCAATTTTGTTTAGTAGAATGAGTGCATTAATATTATGCCATAAAAGGTATAATACAAGTTGAGTGGGAACCTTCATTACAATGGTATTTCCTGATCATAGTTTTAAAAGGCTCAGGAATCATTTTCACTTTGCTACAGTAAAAAGCCTATATTGCTTTGCTGAGATGAAATGAGCCACTTACTCATGTTTTAGAAAATACTGGAGATGTTGATTGGATGAAGCTCACTGAAGAAAACAGGAGCCACCTATAGTGTATAGAGTTTTTTCTCACCTCGAAGAATGTTTAAGAATCCTTTCTTCCTAAACAATCACATGAGAATGAGGAAGCAATAAAATATATTGAATTCTGTCCAAAAGGAGAATGTTAGAATTTAAGGCTTTTTAAATATGTATGTAACAATTATAATTAAATGAGAAAATATCATAAAGTTGAGAGGGACTTGCAGAGACATGGGAAGAGGTAGAGGGGAAGAGTGAGGAATACACTAACCAGTCTATCCTAAGATGACATAAATCTGGAGATACTAAGAGCAATCTTCATAACTTTAAGTGCCACATTACTGGAAATGAAATGAGTTTTCATCTTCAGGTTTCTTCAATATAATGTTTTTCTCCTACATATAAAAGTAAACATTAAATTAAATGAGAAATACAAAAGAAATAGTATTTTACCAGTGGAAAACATTTAGAGGACAAAAGATATAGTAAAATAAAGGATGACACAATTTTGAGAAACTAAAATAAAGCATTCTGGTGCTTTTTGTATTTATTTTCTCCAAAGTGAAACGTTTCTTTTTTGTGGGTTGGGGGAGGGGACCCCTTAAACCTCAGAAAACAAACAAAACCCAGAGGTCTGAACTGAAATTCACAGGCTTCACAATGCTCCTTCAGAAAATGAAACAAGCAATAACAATTGCAAAGGAGGGAAACTCTGATCACCAAAATATCTGTAGTGCTGTGGGAAGATAGAGGGACACAGCCTCTACATTGTGTAGTGAGTTATGGCCCAGACGGTAGTGGACTTTCAGTGATGTAGTTGCCTTGGTGTCATTCATGCTCCTGTAAGGAACCCCTCCTTTGGTCTTGTAGATGTAATCCCAAAATACTCATTGATTCATTATGTCACACTTGGGTGGAATTGTTTCTTTTTTTGCCTTAACTGGTACAAAGGGACAATTGTTTATGTCTCAAAAGAAAGATTAATGCAAGGGGTGCATATCAATTTTCAGCCACTCCAAGTATGCATAAATAAGGCACTTTCATCTTCACCTTTCAAGTAGTTGGACTTGTCACAAACAATTCCAGCCAAGATCCAGATGAATCACCTAGAGAAAAAACTGCATAACACATAGATAATAGTTTAACTGTCACTACTTCATTCTAGGTCGCCACTGTTTTTTTTTTTTTTATGCTTTAATAAAATTGCTCAGTCACAATGTCAAAGAGAGAATTCATTAGCATAGAGATATGATTAGGGAAGAAAAGTTTTGGCTGTTTGTTCTCAATTTATACAGGTGTTAAAGAATAATATAAAAGCAAACCTTAAGGACATAATTGACACTTATTCATCAAGCAGGGGTTTCCAACAGTTACCTCAAAAGGATCCATTACCACCTACACACTTTTAAAAATCTCATCACTGCCAATAACTCACATTTCATCAGTACTATTAGGAGCTTTTACCATTATTCATTCTCAACAATAGTACCACGGTGCTCTAGAATTTCTTATCTGTTATATGACTAGCCACAAACTAGATATTATAGTTTAGTGTGGAAGACAGTTTGGTTAATCAAAATTCCTAGTATATGTTATATATTTACTAGCTGAACACTCCATCTCTCAGCAACAGAAAGATCATAACCAATGAGGAAAAGTGGTCTTTTTTATGAATGGGAAGTGGTTTTTCAAAGTAGCTGCCCAGTAGATTTAGTAGGAATGTTGCACACACAACTAAAACAATATTTTAGTATTGGCTTGGTACAGGACCCCCCTTAAAGTTTTCAGGAGCTGGTCTGAGTACTGACAAGAAAATCCTGGGGTAATCTAGGGACAAGGGTAGGGAATGCCATTCTGTTTAAAAAGGGATTCTTTGGAATTGAACTGTGTGGGAAATTACAGAGTCACTGTTAAAATAGCCTATGTTCTTAATGTCAGTATCAGATGCCATTCAAATTTGAGGATGGCTCTCCATTATTTCTATGTAAATGGAGCACTAGAAATATGATAATTCTTATGTCTTCCTTAGAAGTTCTTTTCCTTTAATTTATTTAATCACCAGATGCAAATTTCCATTTAATCTAAATTCATATAAAATAAATTAGATTTTAAAATGAAAATAGATTTTAAAAGCAGAAACACAGCTCCTCTGGAATTATAATGCATTTTTTTTTCATTCTATATGACATGCATACCCAGTGCCCAAGGACACCAGAAGAGGGTGTAAGAGAGTTTAGAATTGTAGTTAAATCTGCTTGTGACCCACTTGGTGGACAGTAAGAAATAAATTCATGTCCTCTGGAAGAATAACCTGTACTCTTAACCTGTGAGTCATTTCTCCAGCTCCAAGTTATAGGACATTTGCATAAACATTTAACAAGCATCCCTAGGTTTCCTCCATCTGTAGAGCACATAGCCATAACCTAATGATGGAAAGATTCCACATGAGCTTCAGAAGGTCTATAATTTTTGAGAAATCATACGGAATATTGTGAGTGCTTGTTTGTGTGTACACATATGCATTTGTACATGTGTGTGTTGCAATGATCTCAGCAGCAAGTATACATATTTTATAAAATTTCCAGCGAGGTACTTGAGGGGACAAAATATATGAATCTATTGATATGTTAACAATTAGGATCTAATCTTGCAAAACGTTTAGTTTTAGTTTGCACTTTATTGCCCCAATGAATCTAATTAATAAGTTCAGAACATGAGCTAGAGAGTCACATAAACCTAGTATCGAGTATCTTTATTTACTATTATGATAATGGACAAATAGCATAAATTTATAAAACCTTGACTATGTTTGATATATACATACTGTATCTATCTTAAAAGTCATTGTGAGAAAAGTGTATAGCTTAATAAAATCAATAAAACATGGCATGTGTGTTGGGGGATAGCAACAGTCTTTGATCAATGATATTAAATATCCTTGAGAAAAAAAAGTCATTTTGAGGATTAAATGAAATAATATGATATGGATGGCCCTAGGGACTGCATGTGTAGTAAGTGTTTAATAACAAGTGGAATAATACATTTGAGAAGATTTTGGATGTCTAAAGAATTCAAATAGAACATATTTTCCAGTTGGTTTTAAGGTCAAAATCAAAACTGCTAGACTTGTTACATCAGTATATTGTTCCCAGAGTCTAAACAAGCAGACAAGTGATAAAATAAACTTTGCATAAGCCACAACATCCGAAATAAAACATTTTCTTGTGATTTGATTTTATAACACAAGCATCATAGCAGGATTTTCTTATTAGTAATGCACATAACTGGCTTCAAAATTTAGAGCTATATAATTTGCTCCACTAGGAGTTGCTACTTCATTTAATTTGTTTGTCTTTTAATTTTTGTTGAGGTCTATGTTGGTGAGGGATAGCAACTCACTAAATGCATTACCATTTTTCCCAGCCTGCTGTATTTCAAAGCTATATATAAATTTTATTTGATTTTGGCAGGAAATGAGTTTTAAACATTTACCTAGAAAAATCTGTGAAAAGTTCACTTATGACATTTGCAGTTACTTTCTTGCTTAAAATTAAAGACAGAATATGAAATTTCCTTCTAATAATAATGCATTTTAGTTTTGACATTTATAACATTATAACATTTTTAATTTATTTTTTGTAAATGAAGTGAAATAGGAATATGTATGCATTTTCTCCATATGGATAGCAAATTCTGCCAGCACATGTTGTGGGATATTTGTACAATATGTGAAGATATATTGGTGTGATTGGTGTAATAAAACCGGAACGGTTGATAGCTAGGCAGGAGGTATAGGTGCAACTTCCAGGGAGAGAAAGGAAGAGGAGGAGGTATCTAGGCATGCAGGAGAAGCCAGGAGACACAGAGAGGAAACATGAGGTGGAAGGTGGAAGAGATAATGCTATGTGATAGAACATAGATTAATGTGAATGGGTTCATTTAAATTATAAAAGCTAGTTGTGGACAAGCCTAAGCTAAAGGACAAATATCACAATTAAAAAGAAGTCTGTGCCATTCTTTTGTGAGCTGGTGGCCCCACAAAAAATTCTGACTACAAGCATGCTCCACTTATTTACTTCTTTCCTATTAAATTTAATTTTAAAATTTTAACTGAAATATAAACTTATAAAAATTATACAGCAATGGGTTAAGTGGTATTGCAAATCACATAGACATTATATTATTTTAAAATGATGTTAGGCATATATTCTCTATTAACATTTCTGACTGCTGATAACATTAAAATCCATCTAGATTTTTTATGCTTTGTGCAGTACATTATTGCATCTATAGCCAGCCAAATTTCTTACTACTTGCTGAAATCTAAAAAAAGAAAAAAAAACCTCAGTATAAATGATTACATTATTTAAAAATCAATTTACCTTCTTCAAGTATTATATTTATTCATATGTTAAGAGAATATATATATATATATCATTTTGCTAGATAATACAATAATAAAAACTCACTAATTGATATACATGTATAGCTACATATCATACATCTATATTATGTTCTCTCTGCTCCCCAGTTTTTGCCTGCTTTACCTTTGTTTTTTTCAACTTAATCCTTGACAAGACTGAGCACTAATTGAACATGAAAGAAAACTTATTCAAAGGAAGCTTATGGCTAAGAATAAGAAAGGCAAAAAAGTAAACTCACAAATAAACATCTCAATCTTGATAGTTTGAGAGGCTACAGGAACAGGATAAAATAAATGAAGGTTAGGGATATCTTTGTCTTTATGAGAACAGCAGGGCTTTTTGGGGAAAGCTAGACACTACTGATTTTGAGTTCTTTCATGCTTCTCTCCAATCGATTTTCAATTCTTATAGTCCATGTGGATGAGTTTATAATAAAGTGACAGTATATCAAGTAATCACTATGTCAATCATCTTAGATCCAGTTTGGTTTGAGTAACCCACCTAAGTCTTTAGTGGATGCAGCCTAATAGTTGGTACAGTCTCTACATTCAACCCAAGTCTATAGTTATCCTTTTCTATTAAAATGGAGTAAAAAACTGCTTATAAAATGGGGTCTTCTAAAGCAAAGCATAGCCTAAAAACAGCTTTATATAGTATGAAGTAACTTACAACAGAATATAGTCTGATGTCAACATTTTAAATACAGAGAAAAAGACAGACATTTGTTTCTGGATTTGATTGTGTCTTTCAGGCTCTATCAACCTATCTGTCCATTTATTCTGTATAACCACAGTGTTGATCTCCTTTTCTTTTGTGCTTATTTGGCTTATACTTATGGTTATACTATCTGCATAAAATGAATTTCAGAAACTTTACAGTTTTGAAGTAACGAAGGAATTATTTGTTAAATGGCAAAAATTTTCACACTGTAATGTAGCAAAGGACTTATTTGTAAAAAATTTATGAACCTCTTGCATTTTAAATAGAAACTCAAAGCAGCAAGTTCATGTGGGGAAAGCTGGCCAATGTTATTAACACAATGCAAATCAAAAGGATAATATACATTCTTACACAGGACTGTGCAGCCAAAGAACACAATCATACATCGCTTGTATAAGAATTAGTAAATATTGTGGACAATATTCTAGCTAAAACTATTATGAAAGGTTATGTGTATAACCTTTTATTCAGAAAAAATCCAAAGTGGATTAGCCTATTTTCATTTTATTAAAATAATGTAATATACATTACCTTTGGTCAGAAGTTTTCTGATGAAGCTGCAATTAGCATCTTCTGTAAAGTTCTTATAGACTGTGCAGCCTAACATTCTCTTGATAGATTAATAAAATCTTTAGCTTCCATCAATCTAAAATTGAGAACACTGTAAAATAACATCTGTAAATTATACATATTTTCCCATTTTGCAGCAGCCTGCTTAACTGATACTTTCACGAATGTAATTAGCAATGTATTAACTTATGACTTTCTGTTCTTTGGTGATTATAGAAGCTCATGTAATGGCTCCCAAGATATAAAGTGGCTTAAATCTATGATCCTGGGCCATGGTAAGTCATATTTACCTCACAATAAAATTATACCATATTTCCATTAAAGTATTTCTTTATGTCAGCATTGCTAAACTATGAAAAGTATGTGGCTATGACAAAATAATTAAAGGTATAGGTAATAGCCAATAAATTTCAAAAGTAGAACTACTAGTTTATAAAATACATAAATAGTTAAAATCATTTTCAAATAAGAAAACAACAAAGAAAATTGTGCAAAGAAGATCATGTGTGATTACATTCAAAAACAGGGTTATGCTTAACTATTGAACTCCCAATACTCCCTCAGCCTTCAACATTCTAGTATTATAAGTATTCATGCTATAATTTTGTCTTCTTAAAAGAGTGTTGACTGAGGCACTTATGGTGCCTAAGAAAGCCGTCAGACTTTTCCTTCCCTATAATTTCACAAGTGTCTTCTAATTTCTTTTTTCCTTCTCAATGAGCAGATTGTTTAGAGAGTTTTCAAATTTGCTATTGTATTGCCAAAATCAGCTGTTTGCTAAATGCTTTGTATTTTAGTTTGAATTTAATCAAACATATGGACTTTGAATTTATATTCTAGTTAAAAAGTTATAACACATTTCAACACTCTAATTAACTGGGCCTGGTTTTCCATGTTATCTCAAAATATATTTATCATTTCTGAATTATTGAAAAAGTACTGGGTTTACTTAGTAATTTTTATGTATTCATTTTTAATTTGTTTATGGGTTGCTTATAATCTAGTCACTTCTTGACAGTTCTTCTCTAGGACTTACTCATGTTAATCACAGAAATTTAAAATATGAATTAGCATGTATAAGAAGTGCTCACTTACCTTATATCATGTTTACAAATAACTTCCATGGGAATTAAATATTTTGGAAGTTTTCTGAAAGCTAAGAATATTTTATTTCTTTTCTCTATATTATTAAAACAACTCACTGAAGGTTCTTCTAACTTCAAACAATTGGCTTTATTCAGTATGGAAACTAATATTTTATGGTAATTAGTCTTTTATATATTTAAAATATAAGATGAATCTCTTTCAAGGTTAACTTTAATCTTACTTTCTTCTGCTTTATGTGTGTAAAGCCTTTGGGAGGACATTTACTTTTATTTATCTTGATCTGTAGAACCAAAGTATAAAGGCTGATAATTTTCTTTTAAATATTCTTGACCTCCAAATGGCACCTGTCCTGGAAGCTATACTAATTAATGGACAGAACTGAACAGTTGTGTACACTTACATATAAATAATATAAATGTATCTAATAATCCAGTTAAATGAAAAGGGTATAATCTCTTTTCACATGTTTCATTCATCCACAAATAGATCATGACAAATTATTCAACAAAAATTATAATATTAATGATTTTTTTAGAAAATATAACTAGATTTCATTTGTTTACATAGCATGCTTTATTTTTTGTCTGAACTATGCTATTGCCTTGTCATGCATATTTAAAAAATATTTTCATTGCTTAGTGATTAATCTTTATTGAATTTTTCTAAATTAATGGAGGGGGGAGGACCTTGGACTTTCCACAAGGCAGGGAACCCTGACTGCTCTTTGGCCTGGAGAGGGAGGAGGAGAGGAGTGGGGGGAGGGGGAGAAGGGTGGGAGGAGGGGGAGGGAAATGGGAGGCTGGGAGGAGGCGGAAACTTTTTTTTTTCCTTTTCTCAATAAAAAAATATATATCCGTATAACACAATCTAAAACATTGGAAATAGTCAGAGGCAATGATGGTTCTCAACACTATATGTAAAGATTCTTTTATGAAGATGCTACAAGTAAGAATAAATAATTTAGCATCAAAACTACTTCCAATTCACAGGTGATTTCTCTTAAAAAGATATATCAAGCCAGGCGATGGTGGCGCACGCTGTTAATCCCAGCACTCGGGAGGCAGAGGCAGGTGGATCTCTGTGAGTTCGAGACCAGCCTAGTTTACAGAGCTAGTTCCAGGACAGGCTCCAAAGCCACAGAGAAACCTTGTCTCGAAAAACCAAAAAAAAAAAAAAAAAAGATATATCAAAATGTGCTAGCCTTTTGAGTATACAAATGGAAGGACTCAGAACAATGCCCGTTGTTATAAATGTTGTGTCAAAAAAAAAAAAAAAAAAAAAAAGAACTAGAAACTGGTCTACGCTTTAGAGATTTGTCTTATCTATGTCATTTAGGATTTAGGATCACTTCCATTGTCTTGTCAAAAACACTCCCAAAGTGTTGAATTAGGAGCGGCAAGGCTGCGTCCCCGGCACCCGGCCGCCCGCATGGCTAGTTTATGCCCAGAAATAATTACACGGAAACTGTATTCTTTCAAACACTGCCTGGCCCGGCTAGGTCCAGTTTCTTATTGGCTAGCTCTTACATATTGTTCTAACCCATTTCTAATATTCTGTGTAGCCCACGAGCTGGCTTACCAGGGAGGATCTTAACCTGCGTCTGTCTGGAGTGGGAGAATCATGGCGACTCTTCACTAAGCTTCTTTTTCCCAGCATTCTCTTCTGTCTACTCCGCCTACCTAATTTTCTGTCCTATGAGGGCCGAGGCAGTTTCTTTATTATAATTAACCAATGTCCTTCCTCCATCACCAAAGTTAAATGATCACAGAGTGTTATAAAATATTAGTTGAACAGAGACCCACATTGGAGCACTGGACTGAAATCTCAAAGTCCAAATCAGGAGCAGAAGGAGACAGAGCACGAACAAGGAACTCAGGACCGCGAGGGGGGCACCCACACACTGAGACAATGGGGATGTTCTATCAAGAACTCACCGAGGCCAGCTGGCCTGAGTCTGAAAAAAGCCTGGGATAAAACCGGTCTTGCTGAACATAGCTGACACGGAGGGCTACTGAGAACTCAAGAACAATGGCAATGGGTTTTTGATCCTACTGCACGTATTGGCTTTGTGGGAGCCTAGGCAGTTTGGTTGCTCACCTTACTAGACCTGGATGGAGGTGGGTGGTCCTTGGACTTCCCACAGGGCAGGGAACCCTGATTTCTCTTTGGGCTGACGAGAGAGGGGGACTTGATTGGGGCAGGGGGAGGGAAATGTGAGGCGGTGGTGGGGAAGAGACAGAAATCTTTAATAAATGAATAAAAAATTAATTGAATATGTGTTACATTCCTTTATGCTGTAGAATATTTGTTTAACGATGCAAAGATGTGTCACATTATTTTATGTTGCATTTGTTTAACTCTGTGGAGCTGTGTTATTTTACCTGTCTAAAAACACCTGATTGGTCTAATAAAGAACTGAACGGCCAAATAGGCAAGAGAGAGGATAGGTTGGGCTGACATGTACAAAGCACAAAAGAAGAATGAAAAGAGAGGGAGAAGTGAAAAAAGCAGAAGGAAAGGAATACACCAGGGGTCTGCCACCTAGTCACAAAGCCAATCATGGACTAAGAAGTAAAGAAATACTTATAGAATAGAAAATGGTAAAAGAACAGAAGTAAAAGGTAGACGGGCTAATTTAAGAAAGTTGGCTAAAAACTAGCCAAACTAAGACCCAGCATTCATAAGTAAGAATGAGTCTCTATGTATTTATTTGGGAGATGGGTGATGCCCCCCCCCCGAAAGCAAAGAATAACAAACAAACAACTACAATAGAGTTTAGATCATTTTAGCTATACTTACAATACAATAGATAACTAAAATCTAGTAACCAATTTTTCAGTTACATACTTTGTCATGGTTATTGATATACATGGCAAGATTATAAGTCTATGCCCCATTTTCCCCTTAATTTTACTACTAATAATTAAAGACTCTCAATCAGAGTTGCTTCTAAAAACACAATACAATAGGCAGAAGAAGCACAAGCCCTACATACAGTTAGTGTGGTACTTTTTTATTACCTTTTTTTTTTTTTTGCAGTAAAAAAACAAGGACTTCTTGAAGTTTGCAGGCAAATGGATGGAAATAGAAAACACTATCCTGAGTGAGGTAAGCCAGACCCAAAAAGAAGAACATGGGATGTACTCACTCATATTTGGTTTCTAGCCATAAATAAAGGACATTGACCCTATAATTCGGGTTCTTAGAGGAGCTAAATAAGAAGGAGAACCCAAAGAAAAACCTATAGGCATCCTCCTGAATATTAACCTTCATCAGGCGATGAAAGGAGACAGAGACAGAGACCCACATTGGAGCACCGGACTGAAATCTCAAGGTCCAAA